ACATCAACTTGCTTATCTTAGAAACCTACGAACCTGACGCAGGGTGCTGAGGTTGGCTTGCATCTGCCCGGCCAACTAATTGTGAGCTCTCTGGCCTATGATTGGCTGTTCATCCTCTCAGTAATAGGTTAAGCAAAGACATTGCCATTCCATCTGTTCAACCATTCATTGTTCTTCTTGCCTGCCTGGAAGTCTGCAGCTAAAATTGTGTTAAGGAGTTACTGCTGAAGCTGCTACAGAAACCAATGTCTTTGTATTTTCCTGCTAACGTGAGTATCTGTGCTACTTAATGCCTTGAGAGTTAAACTTTGCCTAAATAGTCAGAGTATTAATTTAAACTCTGTAACGATAGAAAGCACCTGAAATGAAAGCCTACAAATTATTGCACAGTGCCAAGATAAAACAACAGAAACTTAGATGCTCTCTGTAGAATATGTGCGTGAAGCGGATTTTTACATTTTCATGTTCTGGAGTTACTGCTTGCTTACAGCTTCTTGAGCAGCTGCAAGGCATCCTCCTTTGGTACTGAAAGATAAGTTATATGTTCTGATACTTAGAAAAGGATGAATTTTTGATGTTGTCTTGTCAAATTCTTACATTTCTCTAGATGTCACTGTTCATACCCAGGTGCTGAGAAATGAGAGTAAGATTAGAGATATTTTACCTTTGTCCTAAAAAATCTAGCTTGGGAAGATGGATGATGTAGGTAGATGCTTCAAACAGCTTATTTTAAATATGATGATTAAGTGTTCATTTGCTTTGTCAGCAGTTTGAGTATTCATGTACAATTTCTAGTTTCTTTTCTCCCACCTTCTTCCTCCCCTCCCCCCCATTAGTTTCAGATATTAGATTGAAGATGTCATTCCAAGAACTATTGCTTTCAAGAGTTCTGTAATGAGCAAGGGAGGAGGAGACAAAGACTCATCCATCAGTTGGGAGGGGGGAAAAAGAACATAAAGGGTTAAAAGGAGGGTTTCATTTCTACCACATGCCCTATTGTGTGAACATATGCATAAGTCTATTGAAAGTTTTCAGAAGATGGGCAGGCCACCAGTTGCTGGTCTCCTGCAGTTCCAGTAGACATCTGTTGCCCCAGAGCATTAACCAATCTGTTCAAAGGGACATCCTTCCTTTGTTAGCTAGGGGGGTGCAGACAACAGCATTCACTGAAATACAATGGTAATTAAATACACAGAGGCTACAGCAGTAGGTATTTATTACATATTCATTATTTTATTTTCATTGTTCTCATAGTATTAACATTTGTATAATAACCAGGACCCACTTTATGATTATTATAACTTTATATTATAAACAAACACATTGATTTAGCAAGTTTGTGTTCTAATAATGCTAATTAATATGAGGCTCTTTAGTTTAGTTTTTTTTTTTTTTTTTTTAGTTATTTGAGATGAAAGATGATCCAAATCATCTAATGAAAATTTTCAGAAAATCTACTCTACTAAATGGGATTTCTGTATAGGCAACAAATTTCTACTAAGTAGTCATTATATCATAAACCTACAGCCATCTAATATAAAGCTTTGAGCCACTGAAACAATTTGCTGCAGTTCATCGTCATCTACAGAGTTACCATGAACAGTTAGTTATTTTTCAACAAATAATGTACTTTTGAACTCAGTAGATCTTTAGAAAGGAAAACTCTTTCTGTTTCCAATACAGTACCAGGAGGGAGTTTTAAGTTTAGACATCTGTTTTTAGACCATTGTATTTTTTTTCTCCAGTACCTTTTGTGTTCATGAATATAGTATGTAAAGACCAAATGGTAATGGATCCCTGATATAAAGCTTGAAAGGTTAGCCATATTTCTTGGTGGGTTTTGGTAGGGTAAACTCTAGTGTACTATGTGAAAGTTTGTTTATGGTGCTTCTTCATGAAAAGAGGAAAATTTTCTTTACTGGTTACTACTTGCCTAAAGATGATATATTTGCATTTGAATGAATGCAAAACCTGAAAGTCTACAATAGGTTAAGTGAAATAGTTGAAGTTTAGGAGAAAATACTTTCTACCTTACATGTAATAATACATTTTGTGAGTTATTGGGATCTTTGCTATCTTTTCTTCAAAACCAAATTGATCGTTTTGATCAAAGCTAAAAATTATGCCATCCTTTGTCCTAAGATCTCTTACAGTTGCTCGTAAGTTTGCACATTACTTTACAGTGGATGGAAATAGTCTTTCATCAGTTTTTAGATCTTTAGGCCAGCATTTCAATTATTATTGGGTGATTTCAGGATAATGCCAAGTTATTGTTTTTTCTTTTTAATTTGCATATTATGTTATGGCAATCTTTTACTAATTACAGGTAGCTAAGGAACCATTTCAGAGATTCAAGTTTTAATACTCAAATCTTTACCATACAGGTAAAAGCAAATCAGGTTAGATCATGTTTCTATAGATGGAGAAAATGCACAATCTACAGGCCAGATAATTGAACTCATTTATCCTGCATGGTACTACTTCCTGTTTTGTCTATTAATCTATAGGAATGAAAAATTATTTAACTGCTTATTTAGTATAAGACTTTGGATAACTTTATCTGAGCCAATCCATGAAGTCTAGAAGATGAACAGGGGCTGTCAGTGTGTAAATAAAAGTGCAGCTAGAATCTTTTAAACAAAATTAGATTTTGATGTTGTAAATGTAAGGTCAAGGTTACATTTAGCCTTAATTATTTAACATAATGTTAGCCCAATTATTGCTAACTTTTTATTTTAGTAGTACGTATAGATTACATGAATTATCACAAGTTAAAGGTGGGTGATATTCACTAAGTACATTTGTATACCAGTTGGCTTTATATGATTTAATAAATAAAGACAACTGATAATCTCATTTTTTTCTCTTTTATCATTATCGCCACATAATAAAATTATGTAATGTCATCAACTTTTTTTTTGTTATTAGACTGAAGGTGACATAGGAGGAATAAAATAGTTGTTAGGGCAAGTAGTTCATAGTTTAAGAACTTACATAGAGTATTTGGTTTTCTTTGAAAAATGTGAAAACTAGGAAAATTTCACTTATTCTTTCGACATAACATTTCATTATAATGTTCCACACTGGCTGTATTTTCATAAAGTATTCATCATGTTTGAAACAGCCCGAGAGGAAAAAAAACCCTACACTTCAATATTAAAATAATATTTCCTCGTGCAATTCAGGGATTTGGTCAGTGAGTCATTATCTGGAAGAATTATCTCACAACAGCACTTATGCAAAACCCAAACTTTTCAGAAGAGATCAAAAATGTTGTCCATTAAATACACTTCCTGCAGTCAGAGCAGATTGTGGGGTTTACAGAACAATGATGTCGGAGCTTCCAGATTGGTTTGGCAGCTGCATTGTTCTCGGAGGGTAAACCAGACGCACTTAAGTCCCAGTCTCTTTTGTAGGCTTTTGTTCATACCAAATTATTCTTTCACTGTGCTAGCATTCATGATGGCATGTTAAGAGAGTGCAGCTTAGCAACCAGTTTCTGGTTGCCAGGCAGCCCAGCTTCCAATAGGTTTTCCTTGTTGAAGATACTTTGGGTGGTAGCTCCATGAACGCCACAGTGCAGATCTTCTTGTAACCGTCTCCCTTTATTAGCATGCTGTTGTGATTTGTTACATGCATTATGGTGTCAGTATATTACAGTAGTTAATAAATCACTTGAGTGTAAAGATTTGCTTTCAAAATCCTTTCCTTTAATTCTAAATAATTGGGCTCATGCATATCCACATTAATAGGGAAAAAAAAATGGAGTTGGATACAGCCTCATAATAGAGCAGATGTAAAGAGAACCCTCCTAGGAAATATTTCTTTTTATCACTTGTGCAACTGGGAGCTAGGAGAGTTAGATGTTTCTTAAAAACTAATGAATGCTATATTAGTAGAGCAGTGGTATTAAGTGTCTCTGTCTTCTCAGGGGATAAAACCTGAAGAAACTCATGTAGGAGTTCTACTCTGAAGGATTTTTTAAGAGTGTATTGTTATCAAGCTAAAGATTCCATGTTCTTTGCTCTAGTATTTACCATAATTAATATAATGTGTTTCATTATGTATAAAATACTTCACACTCTAATAAGTTTACCAAGTATGCATTCAAACTTGTGATTTCTTAGAAAATCTCTTAGCATTCTCTCTTAACATTTATATAATAGTTCCTTTCTAGTGTAAATAGGACAAGAAGAGCTTTATAATAAAATGTTTTTTTTTCAATTTGCTTTTTTAGCTTACTTAAATAGATGTTTTATGACAGTCTCAAATTCATCTACCACTGGCTGAGCGATGTTATTCATGGTTAGAACACTGGGATTGCCTTAATAAGCAAACTACTGGTGTGAATATAGCCCTTACAATGGAGCACAGGAGAAACTAATTTTATTTTGCAAACCTATTCCCCGTAGAGAAATAACAGTATTCTTCAAGGAAAATAGTAAAACTGCAAAGGCATTTTAAATAGTAAAAGCATTCCTATAAGGGAAAAGTAGGAAAAATGATGACTTTTTAACCAAATGCAGATAATGGTTAACTAATTACCTGGTATATCAACAGTTTTCTCCTGTAAAATTTAAAAATCAAGATAACATTATCAGCATGCTAAATTAAATTATGCTGCTAATTTTATTGGAAGTGTTTCATTTCTCTACTGTCTACAAATGTGCATAGGATTAAGAGTACATTTTCTTCTTAATAAGAATAGTGTAGCATAAAAAATGCATTTTAGTATTGCGTTCCCTATTTACAAAATAAAGATTAGGACAAAACTAGTCATGATGGAATATGATTCGCTTTGTAATTGGTGGCTGTTGAGGCAGTATCTAAATATTCTTGAAATAGCATTAGATTGTTAAATTTTAACCAAATCAATGATAATTTTTCTATGCTAATAAGTTTATGTTTTTCCTTCCACACGGCTTTCTGTTTAAAAGAATATAAGTGTTTATAAATTTTTTTAGGGCTAATGTACGTAGTCCCTGTAGCATATCAAAACCATGCGTTTTGGCGACCTCCTGTGCCCCTGCGGAAACACAGACCTTTCTTGGAGTGGAAGTATCTCAACGGTGAAGGTTGAGAAGGGAAGGCGCATGATGCAGTGGGGGAAGGTGTGTGGGTTTTGGATTCGAGCAAAGCTGGATATAAACTCCAGTCCAGACGAAACAAGCCCTACCAACACCGCAGAGTCGCGGCTACCAGAGGGATGGCCCCGAAGGGCCCCGGGCTCTGTGCTGGACGGTTGTGGGCCTTACGGGTGGGTGTGGTGTGGTGACGGAGAACAGAGATGGTGCGAACCTATTCCCAAGCTGGCGGAAGTCCAGCTCCATGACTTCTTTAGTTCGTTCCCTCAGAAAAACGTTATCGTCCTCATTTCACGACTTCGTCTGAGGCCAGGGGTGTGGTAGGCCGGCAGTGGGAGGGCCTTGGCCAGTAGAGGAAACCCAGGTAGCCGCTGCCCAGTTGTGCGGCTCCCCTCCCCCTCTGAAACACGCGCACCTGTAAGGGCCCATTCTGAACATTTCCTCTCTTGCCCTAGGAATACGGGGTGCTGTGCATTCAGGAATACAGAAAAAGCGGCAAAGTGGCGTCAAGTACACGGAACAGCCTCATGGGCCTGAAGGATCATCTGGGGCACGACCTCGGCCACCTTTGCGTGGAGGGCACTGACCCCCATTTAAGCACGTCTGTACCTTGGTCCCTGGTCAACAAGCCAACCATGGACAAAGCCCACTCCGGGAAGGAAGCGAAGGAGGCGTCCGAGGAGAACGCGAGCTCCGGGGACTCCGAGGGCAGCGCGCTCTCCGACTGCGAGGCCGAGCTCCTGCGGGGCACCCCCGGGGAGCCCCGCTTCCTGGGCAAAGCGCACAGGCAGCTGTGCAGGTCCCCAAGGCTGGAGCCGCACATCCTCAAACGCAATGAAATTTTGCAAGACTTTAAACCCGAGGAGTCCCCGACTCCGGCCAAGGAAGCGAAGAAACCCCCTGACGTGGTGAGAGAATACCAAACGAAACTGGAGTTTGCACTTAAGTTAGGTTACTCCGAAGAACAGGTCCAGCTCGTGCTAAACAAACTTGGTACCGATGCTTTAATCAACGACATTTTGGGAGAACTTGTCAAACTTGGAAATAAAAGCGAGGCTGAACAGACAGTGAGCGCAGTGAACAGCATAATGCGGGACGCGCCTTCCCTGGAGTCTCAGAGGTCTGAGTCTCCCATGCAAGAGATGGTGACTGACGACGGGGAAAACCTGAGACCCATAGTCATCGATGGCAGCAACGTGGCCATGAGGTAAGCAGAGAATCAGTCGTCACTGGTCATTGCCAGACAGGCTTTAAAAGTCACTTCTGATTTGGGAGCTCTTTCCCTTCTGGCAGGCACTAACACCAGGAGTTAGGCTGCACCCCAACATTAGTTTATATCTTCCTTACTGTTTCTCTCTTAACTTTCTCCCTCCTTCCAGAATGCTCCAGAGTGCTCCCCACCCCCTTTCTTTCTGAATAGAGACGTTGCCTACCCCCAGACCAGTCTTTATTAATCTCATGTGGCTAAATTTCTATAGTATAAAAATTACCAAAAGTTGCTATTCTAGAGTTATTCACTGCTTTTTTAAATAAAGAACTTGAGTTTGATAAATTCAGCGATTTTGGGGTCCCGTCAACTGAACAACTTCTTCTGCATGAAGTCAAATAACCAGCCTAATGGGAAAGTGAGATTTTGACTTTTGGAGCTCTTTTTTTTTTTTTTTTTTTAAGATTTATTTATTTGTTCATACAGAACTGGGGTACAGGCCAGAGGCTCAGGGGCGGCAAGAGGCTTCACCAGAGACAGAGTGGGGAGCAGAACAGGCAGGTAGATGAAGTACACTGCTGAGGGGAGCAGCGGGCGGGTCAGGAGAGGTCTGCCACGCCATGTGGTCACCTCCGGGGCAAGCGGGAATCGAACTCATGCAGAAGCAGCTTTAGATTCTCAGTGCTGTGCTTTAGCCCGCTGTGCCACCAAGGAGGGCCAGGGCTCTTTTTTTAAGAAACTAATCTGTTGATTTGGAAACAAATCAAAGCTCGGTTCCATAATTTGTTGTTGTTGCTGTCCCATTTAAGAAATGCAAGTCAAAATAATAACTGGGAAAAGCACCAGTGAAATACTTGTTGATGTGTTTTGATGGCTCAAAATTCAAAGTGCATTGCAATGAATAGAAGGTTAAGTGTCTACAATATTCAGAGCAAGGGGGGTGGTGGAGAAAGATACTGGGCAGGGTAGCCCCAGAGACCTGCCAAGTCCAGATCAGCATCTCCATTGTGACCAGTGTCCCCGCTAGTAATGATGCACACTGAAGTCAGAGCGCCACAGCTGAAGGCAGAGCACCACGGCCTTCAGCAGGTGACAGCCAGTAATTCTGCAGCCAGTATGCAAGAGTGTAATCCTCAGATTGACCTTTCCAGGTGGAGGCAGTATTATCTCTCACTTTTGAGCAAATGAGGGTTTAAATCACCTGCTCCAGGCAAAACATACATCCGGCCCAAATATGTATGACTTCAATGTCTGCACACTTTTTTCCTCGTCGGTGAAAGTCAAGGAGAAATTGAGATGGTTCCAGCCAAATCGTTCAGACATTCAATGCCACACTAGAGAACTTAAACTTGACCCTCACTGAAGATTGAGGAGGGGAATGTCAAAAATAAAGAGGTACTTCATACTGATAACCTAGCAGTGATGTTTAAAGCAGGATTATAGGAGGTAGAAGAGCTATTGGGTTGCAAACCATCCTTTCTAATGTGGTAAAGACCGCCTTAGTTATCATGGTGTGAAGTATGCACTTGTCCTTCAGCAAAATAAACTCTCAGTTGTTTAATCTTTCCCAAACTTGGTGACAGGGTGATTTTGTTTTGTTTAGTTTCATTTTGTTTTTAATTCCTTAAGATAATCCAGAACTCGCAGATGGTTATCTTAGCAGTGTGGTAATAATATGTAAGGCTCCAAAGTCACGAAATGCCACGGTAGAGAGTAACAGGGGGTGAGATAGGTCCTGTGGTGGGTCCATACACCAGAGTCAGCAGAGGGGCTCTGCCCTTGGAGGCTGATGCACTGGGGCCATTGTGGTGCTCAGGAAACTGATCTTCAGAAGGGCCAAGGTATTTCTGCCACACAGCCAGTGAGTGAACTCGGCAAGGAAGATGTTGTTAGCTGCAGGTTGGTGGTGGCCAGAGAAATTGAAATGCACCAGTGAACTCTAAGAGGAGGTGGCTTTGCAGGGGAACATCCTGTGGATTCACTAGAGCAGACCAGAGGACCCGATAGCTAGCAGGTCAGAAGGTTTGAGACTGAATCTCGTCAGGATGGAGGGCTAGGGCTGGGCTGAGAGCCCAGGAAGATTACAGGAAGAAAAGAAAGGGGAGGAAGAGTTGGAAAAGGTGTTCACTTTGTGAATGAGAGGACAGGGCGCAGCTCTCTACCGGAGAGGAAGGGAGAAGCAGCACCCTGGAAGTTTTCCTTTCTGAAGCCAAGATCCGAAGGAGGAGACAAGAAAGGCACATGTGGAGAGTCTGGCATCGGAGGGAAATACTTTTGGGGTGGGCAGAAACAGACCACAGTAGGGAAACCACCTCAGGATCACAGAACTGGAGTCAGGGCAGAGAATTTCTGGAAGGGATGCTGTGCAGAGAGATGTCGGTGCAGCGGGTCGACCTCACGCACGTGACCAGAACCCAGTTCCCCAAGCAACGAGAAGCTCCCGGACAACTGCAGATTCACATAAAACCCGTCGGCTGCTCATCCCACCCAGTGAGAATGATCCACAGGAAGACTTCACTACAAAAATGGGTGGCGTAATGAAGGCATTCGCGCGGCCTGCCCTGTTGTAATCATCCCAACAGACTCCTACCACCTCTGGCCACAGTTCGCTCCACCCTGGCTGCTGGCTGGCTGTGAGGGTGGGACCGGATGTACCCCACCTCACAGCAGGTCTTTTAACCGGACACTGTAACTGAAGGGCTTTGGGCGTTTCAGGAAAAAATAAGCTCATGGGAAAGTTTCAGTCTAGCATCATTTTTCTGCCAGTCACAATAAAATGTGGTGCCCTGTCCATAACTTTGGAAGTGCCAGCAATCATGAAAATGCACCAATCTACTGGTTCCTCCCTGGTGGCACAGCAGGTTAAAGTGCGGCACTGCAGGCTAGCCACAGCTGCCTCAGTGCAAGTCGGGTCCCCAGCCAGGGAGGTGACCCACATGGCACAGCAGACCTCTGCTGTCTCGCCCGCTGCTCCCCTCAGCAGTGTACTTCCTCAGTCTGCCTGTTCTGCTCCCCACTCTGTCTCTGGTGAATCCTCTCATGGTACCTTCACCTCTGGCCTGTACCCCAGTTCTATATGCATAAATAAATAAATCTTAAAAAAAATACATATCTACTTTAGCTCCAAGGTCTTTTTTTTTTATCTTTTTTCTTTTTTTTACATCGTTCTTTATTTTGTGCATTTTTTCATCTCAGTTGTAATCCCATGGGCTTCCCACCACCAGTTTACCCATGTGCCAAAAAAAAAAAAAAAAATGCAGCTATTTCACTATTTCATGTTGCATAAATGATAACACACTCTTACTTTTGAATGTAATATCCTACTCATAAGTTTAGCAGATCTATTATGTAATAAACACATACATACAATAATAAATTACAATAATATGTAAATGTGGAGGTGAGTTAAGAACAGAATACTATTTTATTTCCAATCTCCCAAACAGATTCCACTCCCTAATGTAAGGTGAACTTATTTTAGCTTTATTTAAATGCTTGTCCTGGAACTGATGGATATAAATGATTCTTCACTGATGGATATAAATGATTCTTCAGATGCAAATTAAAATAGGAAAGCGAAGTCATGCTAAAACAGATATTTAAAAAATACATTTTTATTCTCTACATACTTACCTTTATGATTCTGAGTGAGTTCTTTAAGCTTGCCAACTTCAATTTGTCAAATCATAAAGAGGGGAATTCTTTTCTTGTAGACTGGTTTTCGAACTAGGGGCAGTTAATACCAAGTGTCTGACATGTAGTAAGCCCTTAGTAGATAAATTGTTATTACATTAAAGAGTCAGAATATAGTAGCTAATGTAATGAAGATTTAGTTGTTGTAGTCTCACTGTGCAGTGTTTAACAGACATAGAAACAGCCCATCATATTCTTATGACTCTGGCTATATTCAATTTTCACTTTAAGAATTTTTTGTTTAAAGATTTATTTTTATTTATTTATGCATACAAGTACAGCGGGTATGGGAGAGGGAGGAGGGAGAGGATTCACCAGAGTGGGGAGCAGAACAGGTGGATCTACTGAAAGACATTGTCAAGGGGAGCAGTGGGCAAGATTGGAGAGGTCTGCTGTGCCCTGTGGGCCAGCTCCCTGGCCAGGATCAAACTCAGACCACCATGGTGACAGTGCCGGGACTTAACCCCTAGGCCCCCGGGGGGGGCCTTTACTTCAAGGTTTTAGCACCTGTGGCTTTCAGTGGTAACTTTACAATTTCATAATAGAGACTTGGTTTTTATGGACAGACCCCCCCCCATACACACAAATTTCCCTGGGACAAGACTCTGTTACCTGGGCTCTCAAGTGTTGTAGCACAGGTCCCCAAATTGCAGGGATGCTGTGTTACCTTCTGGAGACTAGTTAAGTAAGAGTCTGTTTTCAACATGTCATATTGAAAGATGCTTTGGGTAAGTTTATTGAGTGAGCAGTTCACAGAAAAATGACAAATACCCAGAACTTAGTCTAGCATGGTTTGCAGTGGCTGTTTCACTCTGGGTATGAGCAAAGACTAATTGTACAAGAATGGGAGAGAGCAAACTGAGGTTTACAGCAAGTCCTAAATCTTTGCATATGAAATTTCAAGCGTCCAGTAAGTACTTGGGTTCTGAAACCTGAACCAGTAAGTTTTATATTTAGTGGAGCTGGACTGGCAAATTTTTACAAAAGATACATTTAATTTTTTTTTTTTTAATTCTCAGTTGCTTACGAGATTGATCATTCAGCAAATAGGCATTTTAATCAGACACTTGATAATGTGGTTGTGCCATAGAATGTATACTTGGGAAAAAACACAGAGGCAAATACATAACTAAAATCTATCATTTCTGTAAAGAAATTCTTGTGGTGTTTTTCCCCCCAGATAGATTCACAAAATCTGTGAATCCATTAAACTTGAGGGAGATCAGCCATGGGGTCTGATATTGGTCTCTATCCACAGGTAACCAAAAGTCGAAATCCACATTTTCCCTTAAGTCCCGTGCGCGTTT